CATTGACACGATATATCGTCTACTTGCTTCATCTTAAAAGATGCTTGAAGGTTCACCATCAGCCACCCAGAGCAGGCCCTCGCTTGGACTTATGTTGTCCGATGATTCAGATGGAGATGTTCCACTACTCGAGAAGATAAAAAAGAACCCCAATCGCTCCAATTTACTTGTGGAATCGCCTAAGGACATATCAATGGATTATTCACCCACCACTGAAGGATTGGATCTTGGAAACATGGAGGGTCCCTTTGGGGAGCAGCCAATGGTCGCCGATCAGAAAGATAACGAGCGCAACGAAATTAGAGACGAGATAAAATCAGGGAAAGACGACCAGATCTTATCGTCGTTAGGCGGCAAAGCATCAACAGCCCCGGAACTCACCCTTGATACCAATCGGCTCCAGGAAAGCATTCGCAAGGCATCCTCTTCCGGCAACTCAAAGCCAAAGTCCGGAGTACCAAGACCAATTCTACCAAATAACACGTCACAGTTGCCTTCTCTTGGTCAGAATACAAGCACGCATGAAGATGTATCCATGGACGTCGATGGGGATGACCCACTTCCGAACCCCGTTGAATTTATAAGAAATGCTTTGTCGGATACGGTGATCTCGTGAGTGTTTTAGGTTAGAGTTGAGCCGTGTTAACATATCGTAGCCCGGCCACACCTATTGACACATCGTCTTGGGAGCCCATACGCCTAGGCTTGCAATCGAAGGCAGGTATAGATTGGCTTTGCCAAGGGCGACTACAGAATGCAACTCAGGAGTTTGAGCCACCTGGCTTTAAATGGATCCGAAGAAAAGACTTCGAAATCAAGTCCTTACGGGCTGTTTCACAACTACCGATCCTCCGGTATAACTATAGGCCATCTCAACATGCGATTTTCTCAGGATCAGAGCGCAATGACCAGGGAATATTGGACGCTTTCACTCAATACCTGTCACAAAACAATCTAGTGCGTTTTCCATCTCTTATCATTAAAGCTATACCCTAATCCTCTAAAGTGTGGCATTGCAGATACCGGCTACCCAGAAAGCAAGCTTTGCTTCTATCCGTCTCAGCCATCATTCGCTGCAAGTTTTCTTAGCGTCCCCAAGGAACCAGAGCTACGCCAAGGACCCATCCATCTTTTAATAACCGTTTTGCATCTCGGTCGGGGAAAGCAGCAAGTCTATCCTTCCCCATCACTCAAAATTCGTCCCAAATATGATATTTTTGGGTCTGTTTCTAGATTGGGATCGCCATGGATACAGAGGGGGTTGAGAATATTAAACTTTCCAGACGAACTGAAGGCCTTCCTCAAGCAACGGCCAGGGGGTGCCTATACTCTTTTCACGATGGAGAATTCCAACTTTAGGACGAAGCCTTTGTCAAAAATTGAAGAAAAACAGCCGATACAACAAACCTTTGAGCAAGGTGTCTATCATCGTGAGGAGACTTTAGCTTTAATTTCCATCATGACGGAGCTAGGATGTGTTTCCAAGCCATTTATATATGGAGACCCAAATCTTGTCTTCATCCACAATGCCGCGTGGGATATATTAAAACATTTCCCTGGCTTTACCAACCGTAAGACAAGACCTAGGGTGTCCTTTTACGCATATGGACCCTATCATGCCCTACATCCCAAACTATGGGGTGTGCGCGAGATATTTAAGAGAGGTGAGCCTCCTGAATTTGGCTACTATTCATGATTTAATCAGGACTAGGTGGCGTCCTTACATTTACAACGCGAGGAATACTGGAGAGTCATAGTCGTTTCCGAGACATCCTGGACTGTGTCACCAAATCGGACGTTTGGATGGCATACATCTCCCCTTTAGTTGTCGGTTGGATATATCGAGCCTCCTTTGAGGGTCCAGATGAAAGCGAGTAAGTGAAGGGACACAACTAGTAGACGTCGCTGACTCGGCGTGCAGAGCAACTGAGAGCCTTTTCGCTGTGCTGGAAAGTATCAAGCTCGGAAAACTGGAACTTACCCCCACACCTCCGAATCCTTGGAAGACTGATGACCTAGCGCGGTGGTTTGACCATACCTCGTCCTTATCGCATCCAGAAATAGCTCTCAAGAGTCAAGAAGACATCGACGAAGCAATCTTGGCCTATGCGGAGGGGGCATTAGATGAGTTGACAGAATCACCCCCTCGCAAGCCTGAGCTACAGTGCGACTGTGTCAATA